CAACCACAATCCCTTCTCCTCCATTCTCCTCTCGGGATCTTGGGCACACACACACACACGTACCCGGCGTGAGTTTAAGCCACCGGGTCCAGGACACGAACCGCGGTCGACTATGTGGGAGTCCAGCGACATAGCCATTACGCTAACTGCTGGTCCCTCTCTTCCTCTTCTTGTAGGACACCAGTCCTATTGCATTGGGGTCCCATGCCATGCCCCCTTTTACCTTAATTACTGCCTTAAAGGCCCTATCTCCAAATACAGTCACATTGCCGGTTAGGACTTCCACATTCACTCCATAACAACTGGTGAACCTGAATGTAGAAAGAGGGGCTGGGGGCTGACTTTGCCTCAACCTTGCTACGTGCTTTGGGGTAGCAAGTCCACTGTCCTCTAGGGTATACCACATATGGTCAGTTTCATGGAGTGGTAGGTTGGGAGGCCAAAATGAGATCGTGGCTGGAGGACATTTTATGGGCAAGTTTCTACACTAAAAAATTACTTCATTGTTCCTTCTTTTTTTTTTTAAATTAATTAATTTATTTATTTTTGGAGAGGTTTTTCCTATAGGGCACATGAGCTTGCCAGAAAGTCAGAGAGAGACAGAGAGACAACGTGAGAAATCACCCCCCAGGGTGATGGCCACACTGCAATCCCTTCTCCTCCATTGTCCTCTCAGGATCTTGGGCACGCACGCACATGTGCCCAGCGTGAGTTTAAGCCACTGGGTCCGGGACTCGAACTGGGTCGACTACATGGGAGTCCAGCGACATAGCCATTACACCAACTGCTGGTCCCTCATTGTTCGTTTACGGAGTGATTTAAAATGCATTATATCACTCACCCTGCATGCTAGTAATTGTTGTTATTATTACTACCAGGATACCTAGAAGGGAAGTTTGTTATAATTCATATCCACTACTTGCAGAAAGAATTCAAGGCAGCTTATGATGAAAACACCCACAGAAAGGGCGTTACCTATCACTTCTCACAGAGGCTGCAGAAGAGGCTCAGGAAGCTGTTGATGAAGTGAATGGCCACCAGGAGGAGCTGCAAGAGGCTGACGCACAGAAGGGCAGAGAAGAAGGACACGTGCCAAACCACAGCTTTAGAGGGCTCCAGGCAGACGGAGGTCCAGAGCGAATGGTCATACAAATAATTCCTAAGCAAAAAAGTAAGCAGACCGAGGATTGGGGGTTAAGTATGGAGAGCCCGACAAGCAACCCCACAGAACGCTGGGGCCTCCCCGGCTCGGGTCATGGGACTCTTAACTCTTGTTGCATTTGTGATTTCCTGAGCAATAGAGGAGCAAGATGCTAGAGTGTGTGACCAAAAGGAGTTTGTAGCCCCGCTCTCTCTCTCCCCCCTCCCTCTCTGAAAGGACTGCAAATGCAAGCGTCCATCCCTTTACCTGTTACGCAGATCTTTGAATGGATAACCATATTTCCAAGCTTGAGTCTGATTGAAGGATGAAACATCGAACTTGCAAAAAGGACCATCTTTCAGGGCTACTCCAGATGTGACAAAGCAAATCAAGGCTCCAAGCAAAGCCAGGCCACTTGACAACAGAGCAGTAAGCATCTGCCGGGAGGGAAGGAAACAGCAAACTGAGTGGGCCGTTGCTAGGTGACTCAGGGTGACCGGGACAAGTCTGACTTCTCCGGTGCTCGGGCTTTCTTCATTCCTACCACACGCGCATAATGCTATTCTTGGCTTTTAAGCATGACCCCAGTGGGGTGGCAGGTGAGAGGTCACTGGTAGAAACAGAAGGAGGAGGGAGGGCAAGAATCAGAAAGGAGAAACCAGAACTTGGACCGGATCTGTCTGCTCAGCAGGCTCTTTACACCTTCTCGGGAGGTTGGCATCCGGAACCCTTGCACACAGGCTGCAGTGACTGAGCCTCCGCAGGCAGGGGGAGGTCGGTTATCAAGGCCACCTCTGACCCTTCTAAGGAAAAGCTGTATTTTTGAGAGTTCCAAGCTCCTCCCTGACTGCTCTCTTTCTCAGATCAATCCTAAAAAAAGGGAGGGCCCGAGCCTCGGTGTTCGTCAGTAGTATGCTTGTTGGAAGCCACATAGCCAGCCACAGGTTTGGATCTTCGGTTGACCTGAAGGCATGCAAGATGTGCATGTGTCCAAGACCCTGATGAGCTGGAAGGCTGGTGGATGGGGATGGCAGGGTGACAAGACCTTGGCGAGGTACTTCCTCCTCGCTCTTTCTCTTGTGCCTGTACATATGCTCTCTCACAAATTTTAACAAAGGAGGGGAGGTGGAGGGAGGGAGGGAGGAAGGGAAAGGAGAGAAACAGAGAGAGAAATTGCAGTCCAGCTCTGAAAGGACTCCAGTTCTGTTGTGTTTTTCTGATCAAGAGCTCCTTGGTCATTAGTCTGCACTCTCTGCTCCCCTCTCGGAGAAGATAACAGGGGGTTTCTTTCCTTGTCAGGCTTTTGGCCTGCTTCCCCATTGACTTCTTTCTTAGGATACTAGATTTCTTTTCTCCCTCTGAAAGAATGTCTTGAGATTTTTTGAATAAAACATACAGGTACCTCTTCTCCAGAGTCATACTGCCATTTCCCTACTAATGTCTAACTCATGTGGAGCTTGGGAAGAGTCAGAGAAAGGTACATAAGTTTTGGCTCTTCATGAGTGAGAGAGGCAGAGAGAAAGAAGAGACAGAGACAGTACCCCCAACAGTGTCTCAACCATACACTCCACCCCCAGCCTCTGCCAGTGAGTTTAGACTCTTGAACGATTCAAGGTGAATTAATCTGACCTAAGCCTAGGGCAGTAGCTCTTAAAATGCAGTTCCTGGCAGTCTGAATCGCGGTGCGACGAAGGAGTAGCTGGTGGCATCTCGCTGTGAGTCTGACTAGCCCTTTTTCTGCCTTGCTTGTGTGAGCTTCAGCAGAATTCGAAATGGCTGGCGGTAAGGCTGGGACGGACTCCGGAAAGGCCAAGACAAAGGTGATTTCCCGCTCGCAGAGGGCCGGCTCGCAGTTCCCGGTGGGCCAGTTCATCGACACCAGAGATCGAGGACTACCAGCCATAGACGTGTGGGCGCGACTGCTGCTGTGTGCAGCACTGCGATCCTGGAGTACCTCACTGCAGAGGTGCTTGAACTGGCAGGAAATGCATCAAAAGACTTCAAGGTAAAGCGCATTACTCCTCGCCACTGGCACCTTGCTATTCGTGGAGATGAGGAATTGGACTCTCTCATCAAGGCTACAGTCGCTGGTGGTGGCGTTATTCCACACATCCACGAATCTCTGAGTGGGAAGGAAGGACAACAGAAGACTGCCTAAAGGATGCCTGGGTTCCTTATCTCAGGACTCTAAGTACTCTAACAGCTGTCCAGTGTTGGTGATGCCAGTGGTCTGGATCTCGGTGAAAAACACAATTTTGCCTTTTTGTAATTCTATTTGAGCAAGTTGGAAGTTTAATTAGCTTTCCAAACAACCAAATGTCTGCATTCGAGTCTTAACCACATTTAAGTGTTACTGTGGCTTCAAAGAAGCTATTGATTCCGAAGTAGTGGGTTTTGATTGAGTTGACTGTTTTTAAAAAACTGTTTGGATTTTAATTGTGATGAAGAAGTTATAGTAACAAACATTTGGTTTTGTACAGACATTATATCCACTCTGGTGGATAAGCTCAATAAAGGTCATATCCCGCTCCCCCCCAAAAAACAAAAATGCAGTTCCTGGCCCAACAGCATCACTGAGACTTGTTCTTGCTTCACCTCAGACCTCCTGAACCAGAAACTTGAGGGATGGGGCCCAGCAATGTGTGTTTTAGCAAATCCTGCAGAGAAGTCTGATGCACATTCAGTTTTTTTTTTTAGAGGTTTTCGCTATAGGGCGTGTGCGCTCGCCAGACAGACAGAGAGACATAGAGACAGAAAGTGAGAAATCGCCTCCCAGGGGGGATGGTCACGCCGTAATGCCTTCTCCTCCATTCTCCTCTCGGGATCTTGGGCACGCACACACACGCGCCCGGCGTGAGTTTTAAGTCACCGGGCCCGGGACGCGAACCACGGTCGACTACATGGGAGTCCAGCGACATAGCCATTACACTAACTGCTGGTTTCCAAGAAAGCACTCTGCCAGGTCCAGGACTATAATTGTGATCCTCCATGTGAGAGTCCAACACCTTAACCACCACACCACCTGCCAGCTCCCGCACATTCTTAAGAACCACTGGCTGATGGGGCCAGCAGGTGGCATGGTGGTTAAGGAGCTAGACTGCCACATGGTTGATAGTAGTTTGAGTCCCAGACCTGGTGGCTTGAAAACCACACCAGGGGGACCAACAGATGGCGTAATGCTTATGTCACTGGACTCCCATGTAGTCCATGTACAACTCCCATGTAGACAGTGGTTCAAGTCCCAGACCTTAAAACATGCCAGGCACGTATATGCCCAAAATCCCAAGAGGAGAATGGAGGAGAAGGGATTGCAGCATGACCATCCCCCCCAAGGGCTGATTTGCTTTCTATCTTCTCTCTGTCTCTCTCTTCCTCTCTGGAGAGCACATACACCCTATATAAAAAATCTGTCTTAAAGAAAAGAGAAAAGAGGGAACCAGCAGTTAGCATAATGGCTATGTCGCTGGACTCCCACGTAGTCAACCGCGGTTCGCGTCCCAGACCCGGTGGCTTAAAACTCACGCTGGGCGCGTGTGCGTGTGTGCCCAAGATCCCAAGAGGAAAATGGAGGAGAAGGGATTGTGGCGTGACCATCCCCTCTGGGGGATGATTTCTCGCTTTCTATCTCTCTGTCTCTCTCTGTCTGTCTGGCGAGCGCACACGCCCTATAGCGAAAATCTCTCCAAAAAAAGAAAAGAAAAAAGAAAATCACATTAGATGCATGTGTGTGCATGCCCCAAATCCCTGGAGGAAAAGGAACTGTGGTGTGGTCATCCCCTCTAGAGAGTGATTTCTCACTTTCCCTCTCACTGTCTCTCTCCAACCAATGCATGTGCCCTATGGAAAAAAAAAAATGAAAAAGGAAAAACACTGGCATAGGGAAAAACCAGAAGTAACTCAGAATAATGAATGAAATGTCTGGTGCTTATTTTTAAGTCTTCGAGGTACAACCCTGAGTCAGTGGCGTTCCCAAGATGTGGGCTGCACGTATCAGAGCAGGCTGCAGGGTTACTAAGTAAGGTAGCCACAAATTCACGCCTGAGACCGAATAAGCAATTTATCATATCTGTGATGTATGAATATATATGCATATATGTATGAGTATATTATATATCATTTTTAATTTATTCAGATGCTGCTATAATTAATAAAGTATAAATGTATTCTGTCCCTTAGTCTCATTATCTGTAAAATGGATAAGTTAGTCTAGAATCTAGTGACTAGATGATCTCTGGAAAACCTCTACTTATGTAAGAAAACATTAATTAAAATAGCCAGGAAGTTTTCTTCCCTTTTGTTTTTTAAATTGCCAGATGGCACATGTGCTTATGAGAGAGTGAGAGGGAGAAAGCACCCCACCCAGTGGGCATGGTCACACCACAATCCCTTTTCTTTTTTTTTTGGAGAGGTATTTTTGCTACAGGGCACGTGCACTCACCAGACAGACAGAGAAAGACAGAGAGACAGAAAGCGAGAAATCACCCCCCAGGGGGGATGACCATGCTGCAATCCCTTCTCCTCCATTCTCCTCTCGGGATCTTGAGTATGCACGCACATGCGCCCGGCGTGAGTTTAAGCCACCAGGTCTGGGACTCGAACCGTGGGCGGCCACATGGGAGTCCAGCCACATTACGCTAACTGCTGGTCCCCACAATCCCTTTTTTATTTCTCCTCCTTTTGGAATTTGTGGTGCAGATACACAGGTGCCTGGCACATTTTTCAAGGCACCAGGGCCAAGATTTCAACTGTGGTCAGCCATGTGGGATCCCACTCTTAACCACTAGGCTACAGAGCCAGCCCTACAAAGAAGTTTTCTCTTAGTGGCATCTGAAGACAGTGGACATAATGTACATGTGCATGTTGTTAATAGGCTAAAACGAAGTGTTTTCATATTCATATAGGCATTTATTACTTACTAAACATTTACTAATAACCTGGATTTCAACCCCTATCTTACAAATAAGGACCCGAGGCTGGAAAAGTTAAGCAACTTGCCCAAGAGCTTGGAGTTATTGATGAGCACAGTCAGGACCTGACTTCAAACCCCAAGACGGAAATGACCTCTTGACCACTCTAGAGTAATGGGAGGTGGGAGCAGTCTAGTGTTAAAACAGGGGAACCTCGTGCTTACGCTTCGACACGGTCCACTCTCACTGAAGCAGCTGTATCTCCAGCCCATCAGGGAGATGAGGGCAGCTGCGGTGAGTACCTGGAGAGGAGAGAAGAATGTTGTGGAGAGACTGGGTAGTTCGCATTTCCGTTTCTAACCGTTGCTCATGGCTCTTGAAATAGAAGATGGGACACTCACAGGAACACGATTATTTTATTGTCTTTGATATTGGGACCTAATTTTGGATAACTCTGGGTGCTAGCTAGCATCCACACTAGCCTGCTTAGTCCCAAGATGAAATTCAGCTAACATCCAGCAACCCTTAAAAAATCTTCCTATTCCATGGGAACCAGCAGTTAGCGTAATGGCTATGTCGCTGGACTCCCCCGTAGTTGACCGCGGTTCACGTCCCGGACCCGGTGGTTTCAAACTCACGCCGGGCGCGTGTGCGTGCGTGCCCAAGAGCCTGAGAGGAGAATGGAGGAGAAGGGATTGCGGCGTGACCATCCCCCCTGGGGGGTGATTTCTCGCTTTCTGTCTCTATGTCTCTCTCTGTCTGTCTGGCAAGCGCACGCGCCCTACAGTGAAAATCTCTCCAAAAAAAAAAAAAAAAATCTTCCTATTCCCTTGGAGCTTCTGTGGACCCAAGACCAGCTCATTAACACCAACTTTCTCGGCAAGGAATCAGCTCACTCCTCCCATACCACGTCCCTGTTCCACCCTGGGTGATGGATGGGGAGTTCACAACCAGGGAACCCCAGGCACTTACCATGATGCCTCCTCCCCAGAATCCAGTGCCCAGCATGGCATGCCTGCCAATAAGGCCCCTCCACAGGTAGGTCACATCCCAATCAGGAAAGAGAAGCGCCATGTTGGCCCCAGCGGCAAACAGGGCTGCAGTTCCCAGGCTCAACCCCAGGATGCGGGTGCAAGTTCGGGGACACGTCATCATGCAGAGAGAAGACAGCATCCTGGAACTGATGGAAAGAGAGGGCTAGGCTGAATGGCATACAGTGAGGTGGCAGCAACAGATCACCAAAACTGTCACGTCCCAGAGTGAGATCAAGTACAGCCAGGGGACCTGCTCAAAAACTCAGCCCCTTAAAAATTTCCCCCCGGCCGAAGATCTAGAGTGTTCACTCTTCCGTGCCCGCTGGTGTAATAAACAGTTCTCCTAATCTCTCCGAGTGCTGCTTTCCAGTCCTCTGTGTCTGGTTTTCTGCAACAGTAAGTCTGGGAGAGGCAGCCTATTGCACAAGGTCTCCTCTAAGGCAGAAACCAAAGATGTTTTATTGCTAGAAACCCAACCCCTATGCCCATCCCCAGGAAGATTCTTTACTGAGAAAATTTCAAAATAGAGGATCTGGCAGGTAGTGTGGTGGTTAAGGGCACTGGACTCCCACATGGCCACCCATGGTTCGAGTCCCAGAACTGGCGGCTTGCTTTCTCACTTTCCTCTCTCTCTCTCTCTTCCACTCTGGTCAAATTAAAGTAAATAAACAAATAAATAAAAAAGGTAAATGTAAATAAAATCATTCTTAAAAAATAATAAAAATTAAAACTTTCCCCTCTGAATACAATTCAGTCATTCCATTTTCTGATAACTCCAGCTGTCACACACACTCACATTCCACATCTCATCATATTTTGCTTGTACTTCTATTACAGCTGGTGATTACTTCTATCTGGTACAAAAAAACTTATGTTTTTGTTTTTGTTTTTGTTTTTTGTTATTTGCTATAGGGACAGGCACTCACTGGAGAGGCAGAGAGAGAGAAGGAAATTGAGAAAGCACCCCTGTGGGGTGGCCACACTGCAATGCGGGCAGCTGCAGTGAGTTCCTGGAAAGAGAGAAGAACGCCATTCTCCTCTCAGGATTTTGGGCACATGTGCACACACACCTGAAGTGTTCCTCAAGCCACTGTCAGCCATGTGAGATCCAGAGCCTTAACCACCACACCACTTTAAAACTAAGTTTTAAAGTGTCATTTTGATATCCACTCTCACTTCTATTTAATGTTGTACAGGAGGACCTGTTCACTGCAAAAAGAAAATAAAAAGAAGCAAGAGCCATACAGATCAAAAAGAAGAAACACTGTCATTACTCACAGGTAACATTATCATATATGTGGAAGATCCTAAGGAATTTATCAAAAAGGTACTAGAATTAATAGTGAGTTTGACAAAGTCACAGAATAAAAGAGTAATATACAAAATTTGATTGTATTCTTATACACAAGCAATGACAAATTGAAAATTTAAAGGACATCATTTAAATAGCATAAAAATATGGGACCAGAACAGCCCTTCTCCAAGAGACAGACAGTTCCATGGCTCCTGCGATTTAGCCATTTTTGGAAAAAGGAAGATGTCCCACTGATAACTGGGCCTCCAGCATACAAAACTCGCGTGGTAGGAAGACCACTTACAAGTCTCCTGTCTCTGTATCACTCTTTGTCTCTCTCTACCTCTGTCTCTGTCCTCTCTCTCTCTCTCTCTGTCTTTT